GACAGAGCTTGAGAGGTGAAGAGAAGAGGAGAAGGATTGCAGATAATTGCCAAATGCTGATGAGCAAAACTTAGGGGCTAAACTAAAACTAAGGCTGTAAAGGTTCTTCAGCTAAATATTTAGTTATGAATACTTATGCAATGTACTTATTTCAGTTTTTTATTTGTAATAAATTTATGAAGTTGTGACAATTCTGTTTTTGCTTTGTCAGTATGGTGTATGGAGTGTAGTTTGATGTGGAAAAAAAGTAATAAAACAAGTATAACAAAATGTAAAAAAAAAAATGAAGGGGTATGAATACTTTCGCAAGGCACTGTACTTGTTGTATTTTTGTCTTTCATTATTATATTATATTATATTACATTATATTATAAAGCATGAACCCTTCCCCCAATAATGATCATGATGATGAATAATTAGTAATAATATTATTATATAGTATAGCAATTTTATTTTACAGTTTGTGACTTCTAAGCAGTCCTCTGTGATTCACTGATCTGTTCTAAAGAGCAGGAGTCCAGAACCACAATATGGAGATCACATTGCTGTGAAGAATGAAGTGGGAGGAGATAATATAAGAAAGAAACTACAAAATGTAGAAAATCAAATACAGAGTGAGAAAAGGACTAAATTAAAATAGCAAGCATGCTCATCCACTTCCAAAGAACAGCATAACTGTGGCTAGATGACCAAATAGCTGTCATTCCTAGCTGAATATCCATGTTTTTCAGATCAGTTACATAACCGATCATTCTCAGACAGGCCCAGATTTCCTCCTAAACTTACTGCTGTTGTATCCATCCAACTGACCCCTGGCTATATTTTATAATTAATTTTAATAATGTATACATTTAGCAGACGCTTTTATCCAAAGCAACTTACACTGCATTCAGGCTATAAATTTTTTACCAGTGTGTCCCCTGGGAATTGAACCCACGACCTTTTGCGCTGCTAACGCAATGCTCTACCACTGAGCCACAGGAACACTATACAAAGTGTTATGCATTAACATACTGTATAGCTACAAAGGCTATATGCCATGCTACGATCCATGACCCGGTGATGACTAGCACTTTCCCTGTGTGAATGATCGTATGTGCGTTTCTTTCCAATTAAATGCTTTTTCTTCCTATGCACTTGATATGAGAGTCAAATACTCACATTTTCCATGTTTAGATAATGACACTAGCAGGGCTTTCCTCACATTTCCCTCCGACAGCATTCAATTACTGTAACATTGGTAAAGAGGAAGCTTTGAACACAATAGAGCCGGAATATTTAAATAAACACATCTTGTGAAGAAACATACTTTCCATATGTACCACAAGCTTTGAAAATAGCTTCTATGGGTGAAAGAAAAAACAATTGTTATAATGGGAAATAACCCAAACAACTGAAAAGTATGCTTTTAATTGTGATGATGAAACACACATGGAATGAATACATGTAAGCATTAAGTTATGCATGTCTAGTTATTGTTTGAACATTTCTATAGTTCAGTCGTAATTTCATAAATTATTCAACCTTTTAACAGGCCTCTTAACTATTTAGTAGAGCACATTTTGACAAATATTCTGAAACAATATTTTTTGTACTAAAATTGATTGAATCTCAATTCTGGTGCTTTAAAAAAAATACTAATTTTCACTTCATAATGCAAGTGCAAGATTGAAATCACTCATAACTTTAGGAAATTTTCAAGTAAAAGCATATTTTGTGTTTCAGAGAGTAGGCTACCTAGTGGGTAAAAGACAGAGTTTAATGATTATCAATGATTTTATTTGATTAAGTGTTTTGCACAAGACTTCATTTCACATATCATAAGAATGATGAAAGAAATCTCAACATTTCATGTGCATCTAATACAATAGAATCGTTGTGGTGACTAGCAGGTGACCCTTTGCTGTGTCCCAACTCTGAATTCCTTCAGCCACCACGCCTTAAAGGGGTCATATGATGCGATTTCAATTTTTCCTTTCTCTTTGGAGTGTTACAAGCTCTTGGTGCATAAAGAAGATCTGTAAAGTTGCAAAGACTAAAGTCTCAAATCCAAAGAGATATTCTTTATAAAAGTTAAGAGTCAACCACGCCTACCTACAATGGCTCATTCTAACATGCCCCCACATGTCTACGTCACGATGTGGGAAGATTTGCATAATGCCACCCAAATGTTCACGCAAAGAAAGGCGGCGTAACTTTTATTCTCGCTGTAGTATTGTTGTTGCCGCCGCCATGTCGTGAAGGCGCTGTGTTTCATTGTGAAAGCGAAACTACTTTGTTTGGCCTTCCAAAAGAGGACGATATCGCTTCGTCATGCCTGGAGCTGATCCGTGCTGGTCGCTGAGGAAATACATCAACTTCGCGCTGTCGATCGCCGGATCGGCTTCCACCGTGGACGAAGTGGAGTCCAGCCCAGGGTAGTCACATGTGGTTGCCGCAAGCCCGCCATACGCTCCTTTGTCGAATCCGCCGGCCGCACCATTCTCAAGCCCACCCGCCTCTGCTCACTCAAGCCAGCCTCCGCATACTCTAGGCCGCCGCTCACTCAAGGCCGCGGTGTGTGACGCCGTTTCGTTGTGAAAGCGAAACTACTTTGTTTGGCCTTCCAAAAGAGGACACGACTAGAAATCAGTGGTTAAGTTATATTTACAACACTGTTCCAGAACAGTTTAACCCAAATATTCAGATGTGTGCAGCACATTTTATGGAGGACTGTTTCCTGATCCTGGTAGAGTAGACTACAATGCCGGCTGTTCTGACTCACAGACTGCAAGCAAGTTTTTTAAATTTAAAGAATTTTCCACTGACGATTCAAACGCGAGTTTTTTGGGCAGGGTAGAGTAGCACTTGTTGTTTGTCATTTCTCCAATCACAGATGCAGACATGGTTTTATGTTTACGCGGCGCGATGCAACGCGTAAAAAGACAGTATAAGTCATTATAATCCATAATTATGTCCCCACTTGATGCAACAAATGCCTCGTTTATAATGGGTTTTAATGTTTTTGTCTCATCGCTCTGGCCTGACAGGGCATCACAGTATGGTAAGGGGCGTAACATTTCCGTCACACGCTTGAGGTATTCGGCCAATCACAACGCACTGGATAGCTGGCCAATCAGAGCACACCTCACTTTTCCGACCGATGAGCTTTGTAAAAAATCGACGCGTTTCAGAAAGGCATGGCATAGAGGAGAAACAATAATGTACAGTATGTGGAAAATTATGTGTTTTTTTAACCTTAAACCGCATGAAAATTTCATTACACAAAATAATGTTCTTTTTAGCAGCATCATATGACCCCTTTAAACCATCACCATCATCACTATCAATCTTTATGACTCTCATTCTGCCTCAGAGTAAGGAAGAGGGCAAAGGGCAGCAAAAAGAGAGTAACCCTGGCACTGACGTTACCTCTTTTGCTCATTTAAAGTCGAAGCCATCGTGACTCTCACACGGAGTATGAAAAATCACTGGGTTAAGTTCAGTGTGCAGCACATGAGATGCATCTCATATACTATGATCTCACACGGCCATGTATCAGCCTAGAAATACTTTTGCCATGCACTAAAGATGTTTTTACACCCGTCCAAGGCACTGCCAAGCTCTGGGGGGAAGAGTTGCTTATCAGAGGCTATATATGACATATGAGATAAAGCTGTACATTTTGGAATACAAGAGTGCTCTAGAACACCTGGTTAGCGTCATATACTCGTGTCTGCACTCCCTCATGGAGTTCAGAGCAATTCTCCTATATGTATCCCTTCACCAGATCACTCCCTTATACAAGGAAGTATGTGTCAGTACCATCTTACAGTGATGTATACCATGGTATTGAATCTTGTACATGGTATTTATATGGTACACAAACATACTCAAAGAATACCATGGTATGTGGCATTTTAAAAAACATGCAAAAAACAGAAGAACCATGAAATAAAAAAAAAATAATTATATTATTTTTAAAAAAGCATTATTACGATGCTACATGATGCTAAAAGAGCAAATTACATTTTGCAAGTGTGCTTTTGATTGTCTAGTGCAGACAGCAGGAAAGCCACTCCAAGAAAAATAACAAACAAAGTGTGTCGGCATACATCTACTCACTCACATACACAGACTCAATAACACATAACTGAATCTTTGAACATGGAAGCATTCACACAGTCATCTTTACCGCACCCTCTCAGTTCTGTCTGTTTCCTGGCCTGAGCTGTCCCCCCTCTTTGTCAGACTGTTATCTGTAGATGCCACTCACCCTCTGATCACAGTTACATGGTCTTCAGGGAAAGGCAAGCAGAAGCCCGCACGCACACACCCGCCACGGCAGATAGACAAGCACAGGAAAAGACCTCAGCATGACACCGGTTACCTCCATACACAATGCTTTCTTAGAGTTTTATTGAATAAACAACATACCAACATGCTCCATTGTAATTTCTGAGCCTGTAACAGGTTCAGACTAGTCAAGTATGCTTCTAGGGAAGCTAAAAAAAAAAAAATCCTGAAAAAGAATCTCCTGCAGTGCTCAATTAACTATAGTTAATAACTATAGTTAATGCCTAAAGGATTAACTGACCATTTTGGACATTTTTGCATCACTTTTGTTTTCAGTAAAGGCTCAGATAATCTTTCTGGCCAAATCATAGTGTTTGATGGGAATGGACAGTCCACATTGTTACTATAGATTAATTAGGTTTTAAACTTCTCTTCCTTCCTATAGGTAAAATGGCTATGGAAGGAGCATGGGTTTGTTTTGCTCTAACGTAAACAGGAGAACTAAAAATACTTACCTCGTAAGACTCCCATAATGCAAAAGCTAACTAAATTAACCTCTTTTCCTTTGCCTAGAACAAGTGCTACACACTCACAGCTGTCTATGCAAATGAAGCTTGTATTAATAGTTGTGGTAACTCTGGGAAGGAATTTAGGGGATGGTAAAAGAAGTGAAGATGGTAATTATAGAAAGTATTAAAAAAATTGTTGTTTTTTTAAAAACCGACCTCTGCTGATCCGCTGTTTCTCTCCGGACAGGATTCCAGGAGTGTCTATGATGCTGATGCTGTCCAACACTGGATTTGGCATCTGAGCACATATAAACCTGTGAAATGAGGATCACACATTGAAAATGGACAAACATTTGAAACCAGGCCTAGTGATCTTGCAGTAATGTTTTTAGTGGAACATGATTGATTGGAAGGAACTCCCTTCTCACTAGCCAAATCTTATCATTCCAGCTCTTACCTCAGCTTTTCCATTACCAAAAGCTTGCAGCTTATCTTTCTACAGTATGTGTTCCTTATTTATGTGCCAACCCGTATGCTATCATTTTCATGTCTTTAAAATACCTGCACATTTTAGTCATGCAAAAACAATCCTCAGCCCCCCTACCACTGTGTTCCCCCTTGTGTATTTTACTTACTCCCTCCCTTTAATTTTTCCAGAAAGTGAGCCATCACTTATTCCTTCCATGCTGCTACCTTCACTACTGCCAATCGTATCCCACATTTCCCTTCTCCTTGCATTCCACTCATTATAAGACCTGCTGCCAGTTGACAAAGACAGTTTGTGTCATTTTGGGTAATGTTTTGAAGTGTAAATCCTAGTATTCAGGGCCAAAACAGATACATGCTTCCTTGCATGCATCCAGAAATCCAACTGAACAAATGTACTTTTATTTTCAAGAACTGAACTGTAAATAACATTTAGAGGTTAACTGATGACATTTAACTAATACTAGCCTGCTTTCAACCACTTCACCTTTTGAAGTCAGGCTTCAGAGGTTCTGCAAACATCCTGCCGAAGTTAAAATTCACTTCCTGCATAATGCTAATTTATACACTACCTGTGATTTTTTATTTTTTTTAATTAATACTTTTATTTAGCAAGTATAAAACTCTGCCCATACACTTCTAATAAAGAAGTAAAGATGGACTACATATCAGCACTAATTAGCCTGTGCTGTAAAACACGACAGGTCCCCAAGGCAACAACAAATTTGAAAAACCATTTTTCCCTTTGCTGATGTTATATTCAGTGAGTAATTTTTCAACCTCATTTTCCCTCTGTAGTTTATTCAAGATATATTTGAAATGCCAGACCCTTCCAGGACTTTATGTCCCAAGAACACCTCGAAAAAAAAAAAAATCATGTTATTGCCATATTTACTGACGCTTTGTGTACAGAAAATTCAGATACCAAGCTGACAAGCACATAAATCCAATTGGCTACACAAAGATACGTATCAGAAGAAACCTGTTTAGCGAGATACAGCAGGAACGGTGTACAGTTTGTTACATAACACCAGAAAGCACCACCAACCATAGCAATAACCGTAAATGAATCTTCAGCCTAGTAGAGTTTAAAACACTATTATAGGGCTTAGATACATGCATATATTTGAATTTGACTCTTGGGAAAACTGTTTGACAAACACTACAGAATCTAGAATCAGCTATATGGTTCACTACAGGCCTGAGCCTATGAAAAATGATGAAAGCAGCTGCATTGGAGAAAGTGCATACTCAAGTTACAGTCAGGAGTAGCAGGGAGAGTGGGGCTGACAGCACAAAGGAGGGGCATCCATGTATTACTGAACTACTGGAACAGGGTTAACATGTAGCCTACTAAAATTCAGTGGTCACAAGGCGCACACACAAATACACCCTTGATACCTTGCCAGTGACCTTCAACCTTTGAACCTCTCCGACAAGGTCAGAGTGAAAACACTAGGAGGGAAAAATCATGCTGGATAAGCAATAAACAGCATAATATAAAGGAAGTTGGGGTCAGAGATTTGCAAACAGGGGACACTTTTGAGAGTGAACGCTCTGAAATTGCAGAGTCAGATCCTCAGATTATCTGTCCAGTGACTTAGCCGAGTCAGCCCTTTTTTACCTCTTGCTAACCTATAAAAAAATGTCACTCAGATAAGCTCGGACTGCCAAAACACTAAAATCCTGTTTTTAACAACTACAGCAGCACCTACAGAAATGTCTCGGATCAATTCATAGCTGCAATGAGAATACACTGCACTTCTCAAGAAACCTTGATTTGACCTTAAGATGACACACACCGTCAAGGTGAGTTCAGGGAGGGAGGAGGAATGAAATCTTTAACTATTCTCCTCCCATTCATGAGTGACTAGTCAACCTACTCATTCCACAAACTGAAAAACATTCCCAGATTTTCTTTAAAAAGGATATTTTTGTGCAATAAACGCTTCATTCTGCCAGCCCAGGCCTGTTGTGGGTGTGAATATGATCTGTGCATATGATCCCTCTTATTCAAGCATTGACCAACATGAGGTTAAGTGGGGCGTTTTGTAAAGCTCTGGAAGTCTTCATATCTACAAGCAGCACAAAGGAAAAGTGTAGTACTAGTGCTTGAGAGAAGACACACCCACCTCAGCTAAGTACGAAATGCACTACAGCGGATATATGTAACGTGTTGAAAAGACAAGTGTGAGCTGAACTGATGCACCATTGTAAACGCCAACTCATCTCTCTTCATGGCATTCCTTATGGAGGGCCCCATTCCCAAGAGCTTGTTAAAAAAGAACCCTAAAGGCCTCAGCAGCTGTCAAAACCAGTGTCACCTGACGTTCCTCTCAAAAGGGGGAACCAAAGACTAATGAGCAAGAAGTTTAGTGCACACAAAATATGGCTTTAATATCCTCAATAGTTGGAATACAATAAAAAAGTTAATGTTTTGCTGGTATGCAGTAAAAGTACAAACCTTAAATCTCAGATTCAAATGCCTTAAGGCTATTTTTGGGTGTGACAGCAACTACATTTAAAAGTGTATGCTAACAAAGGTTTGTGGGGATTATAATAAGACAAATCGTAGTCTTCAAAAACTTACAGACATATGTTTGCAGGGGGGTGAACTTGTTAGGAATTTTACTACTACCAAAAGCTCCACCCTTGCAATACAAGCACTAGCTGGCAACTCCTGCATGCAGAAATAGACCTAAAATAAAAGTGCAAGATATTCCACTTTCAGTATAACATGGACACCCTCTTCACCCTAATGACTCGTTTTTGACGTTTCCATCATTATAAAAGTAATCCTGAGCTCATATGAACACAAAACTTGACAACCTCTTGACAGATCAGGAAAACAACACCCAAACAGCTGCAACCCTCGACAAAGAAAACCTAAGATAAAAACTGCAAAGACAGATCATTAATGTAAACACTGTTTTTGTTGATTTTTAAAAAGAACGAACAAAAAAAAAAGTTTATTAAAAATGAATGAAGATCTCACCTGTTCAGAAAAGCGTTTCCAAAGGCGTTGAGTTTTCTGAAGGGTTTCTTGGGGTCAACCACTAAAGCATTGCCCGGGATGAGACCCTCCTGATCGCCGTGCATCACCGCTATGAATGAATCGGTGGTGGGTTCGGGGCCTATGCGCATCCCGGGGAAATCCTGCTCCATCAGATGCCGAATAAAAGTGGTTTTCCCCGTGGAGTACTGGCCCACTAAAAGTACCATGGGCTTGTTATCGAAATCAGCATCTTCCAGAGCCGGAGAGTGGAAGTCGTGGAAGCGGTAGGTGTCTTCCAGGGGAAAGAGTTTGGTCCGGTAGAGTCGCTTCAGCCCGTCAGAAACCGTCTGAAACAGTTCGGGGTCCTTTTTCTTCCCGTCCTTGTTCGACCAGCTGAACATCTTCCACAATGTGTAAAATAAACGTATTACTTAAAGAAACAACACTTTCGGGGTTGTGTAAAAGATCTTCTCTGGTTCTAGGCAGTTTAATCCAGCGGTTCGGAGGAATCAACGGTCTGGTGTCAAGCGGCGGACTGCCAGCGTGGTGGGTCGGTCCCGTCAGCTGTTCAGCTAACTGTTGTCTTTTTATTAACTCATTTAACTTCTTGTGACTTTGCCTGTTTCTGTAAATCAGCCTGAAGTTAGTTGACTCTTCAGTCGCGACCTTGCAGCAGACTGTTTTCTTCTATACCCGCTGGAGAGGCAGCGCTCAGTTGCTCTCTAGAGTCCCACAGCGAGGCGAGCAGCTCTCTGCGCGTGACACTGCGAACTAGCGCCCCACTACATTTTAATACATTACCATGGACCGGAACTCAAGGGAACTTCCAAATTAAAAGGCGTCACCCCTCCCAAATTGGGGTTTTGTGAAACACAGCTGACGTTAATTACTCAACAGAAGGGTCTATAGGTTTATATAATAACGAAACTTGTTTTTTCGTTTTCTTTTTCTAACAAAGAAACAATGTTTATATTTATTAATCTGTGTGCTGCTTTATAACTTGCAACTATTCTTTAATGTTGAATTGACAAAATTCTGGCATTCAAACAACTAAATGAATGAACCTCATTCCATAGGCTACTATATACTAACACTAGCTTTCTCTATTCTTTTTCTATTCTATCTACTTGTTTTCTTTTTGTTAGGCCTATATATGTATGTGTGTGTAGGCCTATATATTTTTTTTTTTTTAAACTTGGTACGTGTACAGCAAGGCACCGAACCCCCAACTGCTCCCCGGGCGCCGCAGCATAAATGGCTGCCCACTGATCCGGGTGTGTGTTCACTGCTGTGTGTGTACACTTTGGATGGGACCGATAAATACAGAGCACAGGTCACCATACTTGCCCACATGTCACGTCAAAAATCAAATATATATAGGGATATCAAAAATCAAATATATATCCCTCCTGAGGGAGGGAGTGAATGTACAGTGCTCTCCTCCACCTTCAATACCACGAGAAGGCACTGAACCCCCAACTGCTCCCCGGGCGCTGCAGCATAAATGCCTGCCCACTGCTC